TTATCATTTTGACGCTTACAAATGACTGATATAGATAATATTTTGATATCAGATATTATAAATACATCAGACTTGTAAAAATAAATGGCTTAAGTAACTTATGTAGAGTTAAGTCAATGTAGCAACTTTTATACAGGTAATATAAATCGCGTTGACGGATAATACAATTTTCAAAATTTAATGGATATTTGAAATTTAAGTTTTATTACTGAAGAGCGGCGAGAAAACGTACTAATTAAACATYAATTAAATACGTTTTCGTTGTTTTATGTGCACGAAAAGATACCTATGAGTTGATTTCAAATTCCAAGTTTAAGATAAAGAACTAARTGTTTTTGTAAAGTAATACCTCAACATTTTAAATATATTTGATTGTATTACCGTTATATATTTTACTAAGGTTCGAATAATAGCAGAGTAAAACAATTGTTTAGTTATTATTCTTATAGAAATACTGCAAACATAATATATTACAATAACGTAATATGTTATAACGTTTAATATAATATTGATTTTAATATAAGTTTTTTCTTGCCCATTTTACAATATTTGATTGATATATTATTTTTTTTTCTAGTCTTTAAWAATGGRCCAKTGGTTGCTGTGGTTTGGCTACTTAGTAGCTTCTACTTATGGACTTTCATTGCGTCATGCCAGACATCAAAGCGTTGGGACACCAACGGCCGAAGAAATACTGGAACCGCAGATTCTAATTGAAGATACCGATCATGTATTCAGACAACGAGCATCAGATATGTTTGCCCAAGAGCCAGAATACACGGAGAAACGAAACCTCAATCATAGACGGAGGTAAATACCAACAAAATTAAAAACCAATGCGAGATATTAATTTTTTTTTTTAAATATGAAATAGGTCCGAATTCAGTGGGAACCAGGATAATGATTTCCAATCTTCCGGGGAGACATACAGTGCGTATAAATCGGATGACCCGTTGGTAATTCACACAAACAAGGGTAAGATCAGAGGCATAACACAGGCAGCATCGACTGGAAAGTTAGTTGATGCATGGCTAGGAATACCTTACGCAAAAAAACCAATAGGTTAGTAACAATTCTGAAATAGAAAATATCCGGTTCGAGTATTAAGATATTTGTGTTTTAGGTGATCTTAGGTTTAGGCATCCTCGCCCAATTGACCGTTGGGACAATACAAACCCAGAGACGATTCTTAACTGCACTACACCGCCAAACACGTGTGTTCAAATATTCGATACGCTTTTTGGTGATTTTCCTGGTGCTACAATGTGGAATCCTAATTCCCCGGTATCGGAAGATTGCCTTTACATTAACGTAGTAGTGCCAAAACCTAGACCACAAAACGCAGCAGTGATGGTATGGATTTTCGGCGGAGGATTTTACTCTGGGTCTGCTACTTTAGATATTTACGACCCTAAAATACTCGTATCGGAAGAAAACGTAATTTTGGTATCCATGCAGTACAGGGTAGCATCATTAGGCTTTTTATACTTTGACACTGAAGACGTTCCAGGAAACGCTGGACTTTTTGATCAGCTAATGGCTTTGCAGTGGGTACACGAGAACATTAAATTATTTGGCGGCAACCCAAACAACGTGACACTTTTCGGTGAGTCAGCCGGCGCTGTTTCGGTTTCACTGCACTTACTGTCTCCACTGAGTAGAAACCTTTTTAATCAAGCCATCATGGAGTCAGGATCATCAACAGCACCTTGGGCGATTTTATCACGGGAAGAGAGTTTTAGTAGAGGACTTAAGCTAGCAAGGGCAATGGGATGTCCAGATGACAGAAATGCCATTCATAAAACGGTCGAGTGCTTAAGAAAGGTGAACAGTWCAGCGATGGTTGAAAAAGAATGGGACCACGTGGCTATATGTTTTTTCCCATTTGTYCCTGTGGTGGATGGCGCTTTTCTTGACGATTATCCTCAAAAGTCCCTATCAACAAACAATTTTAAAAAAACGAATATACTCATGGGTAGTAATTCCGAAGAGGGTTACTATTCAATATTTTATTATTTGACAGAGCTTTTCAAAAAGGAGGAAAACGTAGTGGTGTCTCGTGAAAATTTTATTAAAGCTATTGGACAACTTAATCCGAATGCAGATGCGGCGGTTAAATCAGCTATAGAGTTTGAATATACGGATTGGTTTAGCCCTAATGACCCAGAAAAAAATCGAAATGCTCTGGACAAAATGGTCGGAGACTATCAGTTTACTTGCAACGTTAATGAATTCGCTCATAAATATGCACTTACTGGAAACAATGTGTACATGTATTATTTTAAACATCGTTCTTTAAACAATCCATGGCCAAAATGGACGGGTGTGATGCATGGTGATGAAATAAGTTATGTATTTGGAGATCCTTTAAATCCAAATAAACGTTACGAAGTTGAAGAAATCGAACTTAGCAAGAAAATGATGAGATACTGGACCAATTTTGCAAAAACAGGGTTAGTTTGATTTTATTTGTAATATATTCACTTAAAACATTTGCTCACTTATAAAACATTTAGTTTAGAACGTTGATATATAATACAAATATACTTAAG